ACCTGGGAAGGAATCCCACTGGAGCATTGCAGCACACCCAAATACCTGGGAGTCACTCTGGACCGTGCTCTGACCTACAAGAAGCATTGCCTGAATATCAAGCAAAAAGTGGGTGCTAGAAACAATATCATACGAAAGCTGACTGGCACAACCTGGGGATCACAACCAGATACAGTGAAGACATCTGCCCTTGCGCTATGCTACTCTGCTGCTGAGTATGCATGCCCAGTGTGGAACACATCTCACCACACTAAAACAGTGGATGTGGCTCTTAATGAGTCATGCCGCATTATCACGGGGTGCCTGCGCCCTACACCACTGGAGAAATTACACTGCTTAGTCGGCATTGCACCACCTGACATCTGCCGGGAAGTAGCAGCCAATAGTGAAAGGACCAAGGCAGAGACATCTCCAGCTCATCCCCTGTTTGGGTATCAGCCAGCACGTCAACGACTTAAATCTAGAAATAGTTTTCTAAGATCTACAGATACACTCGCTGGAACACCTCAGCAAGCAAGAGTCCAAAAGTGGCAGGCTCAAACCCAGAACCTCAATCAATGGCTGATACCAAATGAGAGACTCCCCCCTGGGCACACAAAAAACTGGGCAACTTGGAAGTCGCTGAACAGACTGCGCTCTGGCACCGCGAGATGCAGAGCCAACCTTCAGAAATGGGGCTACAAAGTGGAATCCTCAACATGCAAGTGTGGAGGGGAGCAAACCACTGACCACTTGCTGCAATGCAACCTGAGCCCTGCCACATGCACAAGGGAGGACCTTCTTGCAGCAACACCAGAAGCACTCCAAGTGGCCAGATACTGGTCAAAGGACATTTAATCAACTACCAAACTCACAAATTTTGTATTTTGTCTGTTTGTTTGCTTTGTTCTGTTAGAAATGTAATATAATTTGACTGGTTGTCCTGACACGACAAATAAATAAATAAATAAATAAATATTGTTATTATTATTATTACTATTATTACATTTATAGATTAACTTTATTATTTTTTATTATTACATTTATTATTTTACTCTATTATTATGATTATGATTATGATTATGATTACTATTACTATTATTACATTTATAGGTTAACTTTATTATTTTTATTATTATTACATTTATTATTTTACTCTATTATTATTGTTGTTACTACTACTATTATTATTATTACTATTATTACATTTATAGGTTAACTTTATTATTTTTATTATTATTACATTTATTATTTTACTCTATTATTATTGTTATTATTATTATTACTATTACTATTATTACATTTATAGGTTAACTTTATTATTTTTATTATTATTACATTTATTATTTTACTCTATTATTATTGGAAGGATACGTAAACACATGTACATTGAAGACGGTTAGAATAACGGTTTAGTAAGAGTTGGACAGTTTTATGTAAATGTTAATAAACATTCAACCTACTGATGCTTCAATTAATGTAATTTTATTGGTATCTATTTTTATTTTGAAACTGACCTGTAGCTGCTGCATTTCCCATTCTCGGCTGATACTCGAGTCAATAAGTTTTCCCAGTTTTTTGTGGTAAAATGAGGTGCCTCGGCTTATATTTGGGTCGGCTTATACTCGAGTATATACGGTATATACATACATACACACATACATATATTTGACTGGAGTTATACTTAAAAAAGGGCCATGTTCCAACCCTTTGAACCGGGGAGCAGACAGCAAAGGAAACCACACAGGGATGTTCACCCTTCCCTATGCTATCTAAAGCTTATACATCTACATACACACACATGGTTGAGGCTTAGACTTCAACTGAAAGCAAGCTCACACCCTGCTCCCAAGGCTCACAGGCCTTTTCTTCCCAAACTGGGCTCAAAGGAGGAGGGGTTCCGTAGCCAGAAAAAAATTTCGGGAGGGGTTGAAATTTTCGGAGGGGGGGGGTTTGAAAATTTCGCAGGGGAGTTTGAAACCTGCCTCCTAGCTCACGCTGAAGCAAAGAGCACAGCCGGGGGCAGAGCAGCCTTCAATAGCCTGCAGCTCCGCTCCTGTCAACCACCTCCACCAAGTCTGGCCTCCTTAATGACAGCATTCAACGTCTCTCCCCCCCCCCCCCCCAACTTGGTTGCTTCACTACTGTTCTGTCGCGCACTGGGCCTGTAAATAATTGTCTTTAGAACAGGATGTGCAACCTTTGCCCAGCGGGAAGCCAGGGGGCCTAAAGAGAAGTTCTCAGAGGTTTCCACCACAAACAGTCTTTAGATGGCTTGAGAAGTACAACAAAGTCTTCTATTAATGAACAATCAAACAGAAACTTCTTTTGTCTTCAGTAAAGTTAAGCAAATGATTCCAAGCTTTTAGGCAACTGGTGAATTCCTAATTTTGCCCACGAAGGACAGGCAACTGTCTTCAATAACTTCTTCTTTACTTTAAAGGAAAATCCCCGTTTTAACTTCTCCCAGGCTGACTGTAATCTAACCCTTACTGATGTGGGCTCCGCTACTGGGTCGAACTGCGCCTCGAACGCCGAGTGGACCTACCAGCAAGGCAGTAGATGTTCTCCAGCTGGAGTTCTTTGGCCTTTTGGGCTGTTTACCTGAAAATTCTTTGGAGACTCTTAAGACCTTTCTCCCCCGGAAGGTCTTAAGGGTTGAAGCTTTTGTACAGGGGAAGCTTGCACACATCCTATACATAAGCTTACCTTGCTGAGACTAACTAAAAATGGCTCCCTTCCCTTCCCAATTGCCCTGAGCAAGGGGCGGAACCAAAACTTAACAATGATGGACAGGTGACTTGCCCTATGACTGCAACCAAAGAAGCCACCTATCTGCAGAGTCCCTGAAACCTAGGACTGCAAGCAAACATTTAATACAAAGCAAATAAAGTTGGAGCTCCTGGTACAGCTGTACCAGAACAACTACATCAGCTATTGATGCAAGTAATGACATTGTGAATAAATGGCTAATATTTGCTTGAGATAGTGCTTGCAATTCTGGAGGGACTCTTGATTTTTTGCATCTCATAGACTTAGCAGGGGGATTTGGTTAACCAGTTAAAATTCATGAGTAAACCAGGTTTTAAAAAAAAATCTGAAACATTTCAGGGGGGGGGTTGAACCCTTAAACCCCCCCCCCCTCGCTACGGGCCTGGGGTTCCCCTTGGAAATGGGAAACAGGGCCAGTTTTGCAGGATTGCAACTCACCTTCCGCTTGACGTCAAAGGGCAGGGTGGCCACCAAGGAGCAGTAGAAGGAGAGCTGGAGCACGTAGTAGCCAAAGATGGAGGGCAGGAGTGGCTGCAGGGAAAGAAAGGCATAGGATCTTGGGTGAGCGAGCTGGTGCCTCAAGAAAGGATCACACCATGTCAGCAGATTGGGAAAACACCCTGTTCCTGGTTTGAGAGTGTGATTTCCCATTCAAGCAGGCAATCCTTACTTTGAAAGTCGCCGTTCTACTCTAGAAATTTGTTTTTTGTGCCACAAACTGGGTTGAATTGTTTGAGACTCCCTGATGAGAGATCCACTGGGAAACAATCACAAAATGTGCTCTAGAAGCAGGGTGTCCCTCCCGCAAAGACAAAGTTTGGGCAGTTTAATAAACTTTTTCCTATAGAATCATAGAATCAAAGAGTTGGAAGAGACCTCATGGGCCATCCAGTCCAACCCCCTGCCAAGAAGCAATATTGCATTCAAATCACCCCTGACAGATGGCCATCCAGCCTCTGTTTAAAAGCTTCCAAAGAAGGAGCCTCCACCACACTCCAGGGCAGAGAGTTCCACTGCTGAACGGCTCTCACAGTCAGGAAGTTCTTCCTTGTGTTCAGATGGAATCTCCTCTCTTGTAGTTTGAAGCCATTGTTCCTGCGTCCTAGTCTCCAAGGAAGCAGAAAACAAGCTTGCTCCCTCCTCCCTGTGGCTTCCTCTCACATATTCATACATGGCTGTCATATCTCCTCTCAGCCTTCTCTTCTTCAGGCTAAACATGCCCAGCTCCTTAAGCCGCTCCTCATAGGGCTTGTTCTCCAGACCCTTGATCATTTTAGTCGCCCTCCTCTGGACACATTCCAGCTTGTCAATATCTCTCTTGAATTGTGGTGCCCAGAATTGGACACAATATTCCAGATGTGGTCTAACCAAAGCAGAATAGAGGGGTAGCATTACTTCCCTAGATCTAGACACTATGCTCCTATTGATGCAAGCCAAAATCCCATTGGCTTTTTTTGCCGCCACATCACATTGTTGCCTCATGTTTAACTTGTTGTCCATGAGGACTCCAAGATCTTTTTCACACATACTGCTCTCGAGCCAGGCCTCCCCCATTCTGTATCTTTGCATTTCGTTTTTCCTGCCAAAGTGGAGTATCTTGCATTTGTCACTGTTGAACTTCATTTTGTTAGTTTTGGCCCATCTCTCTAATCTGTCAAGATCATTTTGAATCCTGCTCCTGTCCTCTGGAGTATTGGCTTTTTTGGAGTATGTTTTTATGATAGAGCCCATTAGGAAATGACATAGATAGCCCAGAAACAGAATGTTATTTCACCCTCTGTCTCTAAGGATCTCAATGTATAGAGAGACCTTGCCTCTTCCTGCAGCTGCTTACCTGTTGGGGATACCCAACCCAGCACTCGCGGTGGTCCCAGAACCAGGGTTTCTGCAGAAATTAAGAAAGAAAGAGAGAGAAGGCCATGAGCCAAGCCTTCAGGCCATTTATGGGTACCCAAACTAGAGGAAAAGTGTAGATACATCCCATGTATTTCCATGCATGACTGTGCCTCCAACACACTTCTGTTAAGATGCTTTGAAAAGGGCTCGGTTATCCCCCCCTCTCTTTCCCCCTTGGCCCTCTGCTTGCTCGTTTCCTCGGCTGCAAACAGGTTCAAAGTGCAAAGGTCATAGACTCCTAGGGTTGGAAGAAACCACATGGACCATCCCATCCAACCCCTTTCGGCCATAATAGAAGACGGCACCATCCAATCCCTGCCAACAGCTTAGACAGATAGGTAGGTATCATTCAGAGATAGGATAAGTATAATATTATAGACTCCTAGAGTGAAAGGGACATCCAGTCCAACCCCTTTCTTTCTGCCTTGCAGGAAAAGCACAATCCGATCCCTCCCGTCAGATGTCCCTGCAGACCCTGCTTAGTAACAACAACAATAATAGGCTCCTAGAGTTGGAAGACATCCCCAAAGGGACATATAGTGCAACTCTTTTCTTTCTGGCTTGCAGGAAAAGAGCAATCTGATCCCTCTTGTCAGATGTCCCTGCAGCCCCTGCTGAGTATAGGCTCCTAGAGTTGGAAGACATTCCCAAAGGGACATCCAGTACAACCTCCTTCTTTCTGTGTTAATGTAGGAAAAACACAATCTGATCCCTCCTGACAGATGGCCATGCAGCTCCTGTTGAGTGATAATAAGAACCAAGGAGCTAAACCAGCTCCTTGGTTCAACGAGGAGCTGGCAGCGATGAAGTGAAGGAAGAGGGAACTAGAGAGTGTGTGGCATTCGGATCCGAGCGAGCCAAATCGAACACGGTTTGTGGCCTTTTTAAGGACATATGCTGCGGCAATAACGGCCGCAAAGAAATCCTTCTTTGCGTCCAATATTGCGTCTGCAAAGAACCATCCGGCTGAGCTGTTTCGAATTGTCAGAGGCCTTTTAAATCCCACCACCCAGGATGGGAGCCCTGACAACTCGGCAGCCTGCTGTGAAGCTTTTGCCCAGTTCTTTGCAGACAAAGTCACTTTGATCCATTCTGGTCTGGACACCATGCTGGCGGCAGTCTCTGAGGATATAGCTGGAGCACCTGCTTGTCCGGTTTTGACGGATTCATTTCAATTGGTGAAACCCGAGGATGTGGACAAGATACTTGGAGGAATGAGGCCTACCACATGCATCCTAGACCCCTGCCCATCCTGGCTTCTAAAGGAAGCCAGAGGGGGATTGGCCGAGTGGGTAAAGGTGGTGGTTAATGCCTCCCTTCGGGAAGGCAATATTCCAGCGAGCTTAAAACAAGCTATAATGAAATGGGTGTTGAAAAACAATCACTGGACCCCACTCAATTTGACAACTATCAGCCTGTTTCCAATCTCCCCTTTCTGGGCAAAGTCCTGGAACATGTGGTGGCTTCACAACTCCAGGTATTCTTGGAAGACACAGATTATCTGGATCCAGCACAGTCTGGCTTTAGGCGGGGTCATGGAACCGAGACAGCCTTGGTCGCCTTAGTGGATGATCTATGTCGGGAGCTGGACAGGGGGAGTGTGTCCCTGTTAGTTCTGCTGGACCTCTCAGCGGCCTTCGATACCGTCGACCACGGTATCTTTCTGGGACGCCTCATGGGAATGGGCCTTGGAGGTACTGTTCTGCAGTGGTTCCGGTCCTTCCTAGAGGGTCGATCTCAGAAGGTGCTATTGGGAGACACCTGTTCAACCCCACAACCTTTGTCTTGTGGAGTTCCTCAGGGTTCAATACTGTCGCCTATGTTGTTTAACATCTACATGAAGCCGTTGGGGGAGATCATCCGAAGTTTCGGGGTGCAGTGTCATCTTTATGCGGATGATGTCCAACTCCTTTCCACCTGCTACTAAGGAGGCTGTTCAGGTCCTGAACCGGTGCTTGGCCACTGTGACGGTCTGGATGAGGGCAAACAAATTGAAATTGAATCCAGACAAAACAGAGGTACTCCTGGTCAGTCACAAGGCCAAACAGGGTATAGGATTACAGCCTGTGTTGGATGGGGTCACACTCCCCCTGAAGACGCAGGTTCGCAGCTTGAGTGTGATCTTGGATTCATCGTTGAGCTTGGAACCCCAGGTCTCAGCGGTGACCAGGGAGCATTTGTACAGTGAAAACTTGTGCGCCAGCTGTGCCCGTACCTTGGGAAGTCTGACTTGGCCATGGTAGTCCATGCTCTGGTTACATCCCGTATAGACTACTGCAACGCTCTCTACGTGGGGTTGCCTTTGAAGACAGTCCGGAAGCTTCAAATGGTCCAATGCTCGGCAGCCAGGTTACTAATAGGAGCGGCACTCAGGGAGCATACAACTCCTCTGTTGCGCCAGAACCACTGGCTGCCAGTTTGCTACCGGGCACAATTCAAAGTGCTGGCCTTAGCCTATAAAGCCCTAAACGGTTCTGGCCCAATTTACCTGTCCGAACGTATCTCCTTCTATGAACCAGCTAGGACGTTAAGATCGTCTGGGGGGCCCTGCTCTCGGTCCCGCCTGCATCACAAGTACGGTTGGCGGGGACGAGAGACAGGGACTTCTCAGTGGTGGCCCCTCGGCTGTGGAACATCCTTCCCACAGAAATTAGATCGGCCCCCTCCCTGTTCACATTTCAGAGGAAAGTGAAGACCTGGTTGTTTGAGCAGGCGTTTGAATAGGCAGTGTAACTAATATAGAAATATGGAACTTTGGATGATGAGACTGGATCTTGATTTTAACTATGAGATAAGATGTTATGATGTTTATTGATTGTTATAATGTTATTCTTTTAACTTGTTTTTAACTGTTTTTATCATGTTCACGTTTTGTATTTGCTTTGTTAACCGCTCTGAGTCGCCCTGAGGGCTGAGAAGAGTGGTATACAAATATAGTAAATAAATAAATAAATAATACTAGGCTCCTAGAGTTGGAAGATTATTATTATTATTAACTTTATTTGTACCCCGCTAGCATCTCCCGAAGGACTCAATGGGCTTACAAAGGCCAAGGCCTCAAAACACAATATAACAATACAAAACCTAAAGCAAATTAAAAACAATTAAAGCAATATTAAACAACAAGCAATAAACAATACACCAGGACACAGTTAAACTGGGCCGGGCCAGAGTAATGGGTACAGATTAAAAGTGTTGATGTGACAGGTGATATGTAAGGATTATAGGGCAAGTGCAGTGTGCGGTGTGCGGCAATCTTAGTTCTAATAAAGTGCTTCTGGGACTTGGTATTGGAGATTTCCGAATCTGGAAAGGCACATCGGAACAGCCAGGTCTTCAAGTTCTTTCTAAAGACTGCCAATGTAGGGGCCTGTCTAAGATCTTTGGGGAGGGTGTTCCAGAGTCGGGGGGCCACCACAGAAAAGGCCCTGTCTCGCGTCCCCACCAAATGCGCCTGCAACGCAGGCGGAATCACGAGCAGGGCCTCTCCGGATGAACGAAGTGAGCGCGTGGGTTCATAGACGGAGATGCGGTCACGCAGGTAGGCCGGTCCCAAACCATTTAGGGCTTTGTAGGTAAGCACCTGCACCTTAAATTGGGCTCAGAAAATAAACGGCAGCCAGTGGAGCTCCTTCAACAGAAGGGTTGACCTGTCTCTGTAAGGAGCACCAGTTAACATCCTGGCCGCTGCCCGTTGGACCAGTTGGAATTTCCGAGTCGTTTTCAAGGGCAGCCCCACGTAGAGCGCATTACAGTAGTCCAATCTAGAGGTGACCAAGGCATGGACCACCCCGGTCAGAGCAGCCATGGCGAGGTACGGTCGCAGTTGGCGCACAAGTCTCAATTGTGCAAAAGCCCTCCCGGACACCGCCGACGCCTGAGCCTCAAGTGTAAGCGATGAATCCAAGAGGACTCTCAAACTGCGGACCTGTGACTTCAGGGGGAGTGTAACCCCGTCCAACACAGGTAGCCACCCTATACCCCGATTAGGTTTACGATCGACCAGGAGGACCTCTGTCTTGTCGGGATTGATCTTCAGCTTGTTCGTCCTCATCCAGATAGACACAGCGGCCAGGCACTCGTCCAGCACCCGAGAGGCCTCCTTGGAGTTGGGTGGAAATGAGTAATAGAGTTGTGTGTCATCCGCATAGAGGTGGCACCTAACTCCAAAACTCCAGATGACCTCTCACAGCGGTTTCATGTAGATGACACCCCCAAAGGGAGACCCAGGAACTCACGTAAGTGTATGCCTGGGTTCCACCACTTACATTGTAGAGGATGGCCACTCCTGTGCAGAAGGCGGTGACGTAGTAGGTGAAGCGCCAGCTGCAAAGGGAAGGGAAGAATGTGAGCCTGCTTGCAGCGCAACGGGGCCTCCCAAGGGGCTTCCCCTCCACCTGGGCTTGCTCACCTGGCCTCACAGAACTTCTTGGTCAGGCTGGGCCGGTCCCATTTATGGCGGGAGCGGAACCAGCGCTCCACTTGCCGCGGCTGCAGGTCACACTGCTTGGCCAGCCCTTCCAACTCCGCCTGCAGAGGTACAGCCAGGAAGGAAGGAAAAAAGGAAGGAAGAGAAACAGAAATCATCATCATCACCATCACCTTTATTTATACTCCAGGACCACCTCCTAAAACGGACCGGGTTAGGGTTAGGGTTAGGGCGGTTTACAAAAGTGCACAGTAGTGCTGCAGAACATACAAGTATCGTAAAATACATAAACATTTCTAAAACAATAACCATGTCAATTAACATAAAACAGAGATACAATGTGTCCAGAGGAGAGCGACTAAAATGATAAAAGGTCTGGAGAACAAGCCCTATGAGGAGCGGCTTAAGGAGCTGGGCATGTTTAGCCTGAAGAAGGAAGGCTGAGAGGGGATATGATAGCCATGTATAAATATGTGAGAGGAAGCCACAGAGAGGAGGGAGCAAGCTTGTTTTCTGCTTCCCTGGAGACTAGGACGCGGAACAATGGCTTCAAACTACAAGAGAGGAGATTCCATCTGAACATGAGGAAGAACTTCCTGACTGTGAGAGCCGTTCAGCAGTGGAACTCTCTGCCCCGGAGTGTGGTGGAGGCTCTTCCTTTGGAAGCTTTTAAACAGAGGCTGGATGGCCATCTGTCAGGGGTGATTTGAATGCAATATTCCTGCTTCTTGGCAGGGGGTTGGACTGGATGGCCCATGAGGTCTCTTCCAACTCTTTGATTCTATGATTCTATGATAAAGAACAGCAGATAAAACTCCTCCTGATTTAAATAAATACTAAATAAAACACAGCAGAAGCTGCAGAATAAAAAGTGAGAGAAGGAAAAGGAAAAAAGAGAAAGAAACAAAGAAAGAAAGGAAAGGAGAAAGGGAGAAAAGGAAGAAAAGAGAGAAAGAGAGAAAAGAAAAGAAAGAAGCAATAAAAACAAAGAAAGGAGAGAGAAAGAAAAGGAAAAGAAAGAGGGAGAAAGAGAAAGGAAGAAAATAATAATAATAATAATAATAATAATAATAATAAACCTTTATTTATACCCCGCTACCATCTCCTGCAGGACTCGGTGCGGCTTACAAAAGGCCGAGCCCAAATACATTATAAAAACAATATAAAAATTAAAATATAACTCATAAGCAAAAATAAAAATAAGCATGGGCCATCCAGTCCAACCCCCTGCCAAGAAGCAGGAATGTTGCATTCAAATCACCCCTGACAGATGGCCACCCAGCCTCTGTTTAAAAGTTTCCAAAGAAGGAGCCTCCACCACACTCCGGGGCAGAGAGTTCCACTGCTGAACGGCTCTCACAGTCAGGAAGTTCTTCCTCATGTTCAGATGGAATCTCCTCTCTTGTAGTTTGAAGCCATTGTTCCGCGTTCTAGTCTCCAGGGCAGCAGAAAACAAGCTTGCTCCCTCCTCCCTGTGGCTTCCTTTCACATATTTATACAAGGCTATCATATCTCCTCTCAGCCTTCTCTTCTTCAGGCTAAACATGCCCAGCTCCTTAAGCCGCTCCTCATAGGGCTTGTTCTCCAGACCCTTGATCATTTTAGAGAGAGAAAGCGAAGAACAAAAGGAAGAAAAGAGAAAGGAGAAAAAAGAGAAAGAAAGGGGAGGGAGAGAGAAAGAAAAAAGGAAGGAAGGAAAGAGAGTGAGAAAAAAGATAAGAGAGAAGGAAAGAAAAAGAAAGAAAAGAGAAAGGAGAGAGAGAAAATAGAGAGAGAGAGAAAGCCCCATTTCATGAAGGCTGGGAAGTGTGGCCTTGTGGCATATTGTGAGAAAGAGAGAGAGAGAATTGAGGAAAGAGAAAAAAAGGAAAGAGAGAAAGAAAAAAAAAAGAGAAAGAAATCCCTGTTTCACGAAGGCCGGGAAGTGTGTTCTTGTGGCTTGCTGTGAACCCGAACCATGTCTTTTCTGCAGAGGAAGGCAAGACAAAGGGCTTCCTCCCTCTCTCTGCCAAGAGCCCATGTGCTGGTGTGTTTCTGTCAGCAGGTGGCCCTCTGCTTGGAGGGACCGACCAATGATGTATGGATGATTCACGACGGAGGAGGCGGAGAAGAAGTGCCGCTTCAATCGAGGGGCTATTTATATGACCGCCGGCCAGGGACCATCATCATCATCAGTGGGGCTGAGGCTGGTTTTTCAGGGGAAGTGAGTCATACGCCTGAGTCAGTCCCTTGCTCACTCAGGGCAGATGGGGAACCAAAGGCAGCAGAAGCAGAGAAGGAAGCACAAGACCAAAGCAATGAGGGACACAACCGAGAAGAGAACAACGTCCTTTTGCAAACCGACCCTAAGTAATTAGAATCATAGAATCATAGAATCATAGAATCAAAGAGTTGGAAGAGACCTCATGGGCCATCCAGTCCAACCCTATTCTGCCAAGAAGCAGGAATATTGCATTCAAATCACCCCTGACAGATGGCCATCCAGCCTCTGTTTAAAAGCTTCCAAAGAAGGAGCCTCCACCACACTCCGGGGCAGAGAGTTCCACTGCTGAACGGCTCTCACAGTCAGGAAGTTCTTCCTCATGTTCAATTGGAATCTCCTTTCTTGTAGTTTGAAGCCATTGTTTCACATCCTAGTCTCCAGGGAAGCGGAAAACAAGCTTGCTCCCTCCTCCCTGTGGCTTCCTCTCACATATTTATACATGGCTATCAATCAAGGTGAAAGAAGAAAGCGCAAAAGCTGGGTTGCAGCTAAACGTCAAAAAAACCAAGATTATGGCAACAAGAATGATTGACAACTGGAAAATAGAGGGAGAAAATGTGGAGGCCGTGACAGACTTTGTATTTCTAGGTGCAAAGATTACTGCAGATGCAGACTGTGGCCAGGAAATCAGGAGACGCTTCCTTCTTGGGAGGAGAGCAATGTCCAGTCTCGATAAAATAGTAAAGAGTAGAGACATCAGACTGGCAACAAAGATCCGCATAGTCAAAGCCGTGGTATTCCCTGTAGTAACCTACGGATGTGAGAGCTGGACCTTAGGGAAGGCTGAGCGAAGGAAGATAGATGCTTTTGAACTGTGGTGTTGGAGGAAAGTGCTGAGAGTGCCTTGGAATGCGAGAAGATCCAACCAGTCCATCCTCCAGGAAATAAAGCCCAACTGCTCATTGGAGGGAAGGATACTAGAGACAAAGCTGAAGTACTTTGGCCACATCATGAGGAGACAGCAAAGCCTAGAGAAGACAATTATGCTGGGGAAAGTGGAAGGCAAAAGGAAGAGGGGCCGACCAAGGGCAAAATGGATGGATGGCATCCTTGAAGTGACTGGACTGACCTTGAAGGAGCTGGGGGTGGTGACGGCCGACAGGGAGCTCTGGCGTGGGCTGGTCCATGAGGTCACAAAGAGTCGGAGACGACTGAACGAATGAACAACAACAACAATCATATCTCCTCTCAGCCTTCTCTTCTTCAAGCTAAACATGACCAGCTCCTTAAGCTGCTCCTCATAGGGCTTGTTCTCCAGACCCTTGATCATTTTAGTCACCCTCCTCTGGACACATTCCAGCTTGTCAATATCTCTCTTGAATTGTGGTGCCCAGAATTGGACACAATATTCCAGGTGTGGTCTAACCAAAGCAGAATAGAGGGGTAGCATTACTTCCCTAGATCTAGACACTATGCTCCTATTGATGCAGGCCAAAATCCCATTTGCTTTTTTTGCCGCCACATCACATTGTTGGCTCATGTTTAACTTGTTGTCCACGAGGACTCCAAGATCTTTTTCACACGTACTGCTCTCGAGCCAGGCATTGTCCCCCATTCTGTATCTTTGCATTTCGTTTTTTCTGCCAAAGTGGAGTATCTTGCATTTGTCACTGTTGAACTTCATTTTGTTAGTTTTTGCCAATCATCTCTCTAATCTGTCAAGATCGTTTTGAATCCTGCTCCTGTCCTCTGGAGTATTGGCTATCCCTCCCAATTTGGTGTCGTCTGCAAACTTGATGATCCTGCATTCTTGATAACCCTTCATCTAAGTCATTAATAAAGATGTTGAACAGAACCGGGCCCAGGACGGAACCCTGCGCACTCCACTTGTCACTTCTTTCCAGGATGTAATGTAATGATGACCAGTGACAATAGACCCAACAGCAAGAAAAACATAGAATGTCTTCCCTTTTGACAATGGGCCCCAATGAGAGTGGAACTCACCCCTTGAGGGCTCCTCCGGCGCGTGGCGTAAAAGGCCTCCAGGACCGGGTTTGGGGCCACTTTCCTCCGGACCTTTTCTCGAAGCCCCATCCGCCGGCTCAAGGGCAACGCCACATTCCTGCCAGGGAGGACAGACAGCCACCCATCAGCCACACACCATTATGGTAATATTGATGATTAGACTGATTGATACCCTGGCTTTATTTCTCGCAAAGGGACTCAATAAACTATATAAATAAAAACGTAATGTTCGTTTGTGAGATTAACAGAACTCAAAAACCAGAGGGCCAATTGACACCAAATTTGGACAGCATACACCAAACAACCCAATGTATGTCCTTCACTCAAACAATTTTGATTTTGTCATTTGGGAGTTGTAGTTGCTGGGATTTATAGTTCACATACAATCAAAGAGCATTCTGAACTCCACCAATGATGGAATTGAACCAAACGTGGCACACAGAACTCCCATGACCAACAGAACACACTAGAAGGGTTTGGTGGGCATTGACCTTGAGTTTGGGAGTTGTAGTTCACCTACATCCAGAGAGCACTGTGGACTCAAACAATGATGGATCTGGACCAAACTTGGCACAAATATTCCATATGCCCAACTATGAACACAGATGGAGTTTGGGGAAATAGACCTTGACATTTGGGAGTTGTAGTTACTGGGATTTATAGTTCACCTACAATCAAAGAGCATTCTGAACTCCACCAATGATGGAATTGGGCCAAACTTAGCACACAGGGCTCCCATGACCAACAGAAAAAAACTGGAAGGGTTTGGTGGGCATTGACCTTGAGTTTGGGATTATAGTTCACCCACATCCAGAGAGCACTGTGGACTCAAACAATGATGGATCTGGACCAAACTTGACACAAAAATTCCATATGCCTAAATATGAACACAGATGGAGTTTGGAGGAAATAGACCTTGACATTTGGGATTTGTAGTTACTGGGATTTATAGTTCACTACAATTAAAGAGCATTCTGAAACCCACAAACGACAGAAATGGGGCAAACTTCCCACACAGAACCCCCATGACCAACAAAAAATACTTAAGGCCATCCAGTCCAACTCTCTTCACCAGGGCAAGAAAATGTAATCAGAGCCCTCCTGACAAAGAGGCATCCAGTCATCAATATAGATATTAGATAGATAGATAGATATGATTTACACACACACACATTTGTAAGTTGGATGTGTGTAACTCTGGGATGGCCTATGAATCTATCTATCTATATATCTGAGATAGATATAGTATCCTAGATTTGGAAGGGGCCCCCAAAGGCCATCCAGCCCATCCCAGCCCTAGGAGTCATTTCTAAGTCGGATGTGTGTAACTCGGGGGTGGCCTGCATGTGTGTATGTATATGTATGTGTGTATGTATGAGATAGTATTGTAGATTTGGAAGGGCTCCCCAAAGAGTGTCTGGTTTGCCTACTCTGGAACATGCAACATATCATTGTCCTTCTTTAGGGGTCCCTTTCAAATCTATGATACTGCACCTGTCATATACATTTGAAAGGGACTATGATATGTTGCATTTTCCAGAGTAGGCAAACCAGGCACTCTCCACATCAACACTGACAAAGAAACAACAAGAAATACTGTTTACCCACAAGCATAAAGAAATATATTAGAAACCAACACTTTCTCATTACTTTATTTTCCAGATCACCAGACTGGGCCACAGCAACATGTGGCAAGGGACGGCTAATAAATAAATAAATACACACATACACACACAGGCCATCCCAGAATTGTAGACATCCAACTTACAAATGACTCTAGTTAAGAACAGGGGTGGGCTGGATGGTCTTTGGGGAGCCCTTCCAAATCTACAATACTATCTCATACATGGAGCCCCCGGTGGCGCAGTGGGTTAAAGCACTGAGCTGCTGAGCTTGTTGATCGAAAGGTCGCAGGTTCGATTCCGGGGAGCGGCGTGAGCTTCCGCTGTCAGCCCTAGCTTCTGCCAACCTAGCAGTTCGAAAACATGCAAATGTGAGTAGATCAATAGGTACCGCTCCGGCGGGAAGGTAACGGCACTCCATGCAGTCATGCTGGCCACATGACCTTGGAGGTGTCTACGGACAACGCTGGCTCTTCGGCTTAGAAATGGAGATGAGCACCACACCCCAGAGTCAGACATGACTGGACTTAATGTCAGGGGACTACCTTTACCTTTTTATCTCATACATACACACATATATATGTGTAGGTGCATCTATCTCATACATACACACATACATATACATACACACATGCAGGCCATCCCCGAGTTACACACATCTGACTTAGAAATGACTCCTAGGGCTGGACTGGATGGCCTTTGGGGGCCCCTTCCAAATCTAGGATACTATATCTATCTCAGATATATAGATAGATTCATAGGCCATCCCAGAGTTACACACATCTAACTTACAAATGACTCCTAGTTAAGAACGGGAGGGCTGGATGGCCTTTGGGGGTCCCTTCCAAATCCAGGATATTACATCTGTCTCTCATATATATAGATATACATATACACAAACAGGCTGTCCCTGAGTTACACACATCCAAGTCACAAAAAACTCCTAGTTAAGGACACGGCTGGACTGGATGGCCTTTGGGGGCCACTTCCGAATCTAGGATACTATATGAGATATATCCGTGAGTTACAGACATCCTACTAACAAGCGACACCTAATTAAAAACAATGCAGAGAGGGAGAGAGAGAAAGAGAGAGAGAGAGCAGTGCCTGCTCTGCGGTCAATTGTCTATGAAGTGGCCCAACAATGGCTCTTGTTTCCCACAATGGGCCCTGTTCTCGTCCATCGCAATGTCACAAAGCCCCATCTGTGAACACCCAGCCATGCGCTAAGAAAGCCGTGCGGTTGGGCCCTCGAGTCACTTCCGATTTAGGGCAATCCCAGGGCAAATAAGGCTTTTTTTGTATTCCTGGACCTTAGAGGGTGCAAGTTACAAGGAGAAGCAGGAGAATAATAATAATAATAATAATAATAATAATAATAATAATAATAATAATAATAAAAACCCTGTTTGCTGTGACATACTGTGTTTTTGTATCAGTAAAATAATTAATTTTTTCCCATGCTTTTTATGATCGACCCAATTAGGCAATGACATTGATCACCCAGGAACCAAATACCATGTGACATAATGCTATTATAATTTTATATTATTATATATTTAGCTGTCCATAACAACTCAGCGCTCTTGAGGCCGAAGTGTCTGGGGTTTGTCTCTGAATATAAGGCTCTTCCCAATGGCATGAGATATTAGAGGTATTATATATTATACTAGCTGTCCCCTGCCACGCGTTGCTGTGGCCCAGTCTGTTGATCTGGAAAATAAAGGGAATGAGAAAGTGCTGGTTTCTAATATATGTAATTTCTTTATGCTTGTGGGTAAACAGTATTTTTTGTTGTTTCTTTGTCAGTGTTGATGTGGAGATTGTCTGGTTTGCCTACTCTGGAACATGGAAAATATTATTGTCCTTCTTTAAGGGTCCCTTTCAAATCTATGATACTATATCTCTGTATGTGTGAATCATAACTAACTAACTATCTATCTATCTATCTGTCTGTCTGTCTGTCTGTCTGTCTATCTATCTGTCTATCTATTTGTCTATCTATCTATCCATCCATCCATCCATCCATCCATCCATCCATCTATCTATCTATATCGATGGCTGGATGGCTCTTTGTCAGGAGGACTTCGTTTACATTTTCTTGCCCTGATGAAGGGAGTTGGATTGGATGGCCTTAAGTGTTTTCTGTTGGTCCTGGGGATTCTGTGTGGGAAGTTTGCCCCCGATTCTGACGTTCGTGGGGTTCAGAATGCTCTTTGATTGTAGGTGAACTATGAATCCCAGTGACTACAACTCCCAAATGTCAAGGTCTATTTTCCCCAAACACCATCTGTGTTCATATTTGGGCGTATTGAGTGCTTGTGCCAAGTTTGGTCCAGATCCATCATTGTTTGAGTCCACAGTGCTCTCTGATGTAGGTGAACTACAACTCCCAAATTCAAGGTCAATGCCCACCAAACCCTTCCAATATTTTCTGTTGGTCATGGGAGTTCTGTGTGCCAAGTTTGGTTCAATTCCATCATTGATGGAGTTCAGAATGCTCTTTGATTGTAGTTGAACTATAAATCCCAGCATCTACAACTCCCAAATGACAAAATCATAACTTTTTGAGTGATGGTCACTCCTTGTGTTGTGAGACATTTTGTTGCCAAATTTGATGTGATTTCATTCATTGGTTCTTTTGTTTTTAAGGAACTCATTATGCACAGAGCATTTATACATATATAGATTATTATAATTATTTTGCAGTGGTAATGAACTTTTCCTATGTTTTTTATGTTAGAACCAATTAGGAAATGACACTGATAACCCAGGAACAAACATTGCCTTACATAGCGGGTGATCTTCTGCAGGGGGAAACCCTGCACAACTGTCATGATCACTCATGCCCTGCAACTATGAGCTCCTCGGTCCTGCATAGAGCACATGGCCGATGGCCGAAAGAGAGAGGGTAGGATGCTGGGAGGACACATGAACCAACCATAAAAGTCAATGGCCCTTAGGAGCGAGAAGGTGGGCTCTGTTCTGTGGGAAAGGGCAGGCACCAGATGTATTGGGTGATTGATGAAACTGTAGGGAACGTCCTATAGAGACAGGGCGGTAATGCTAATAGTAGTAGTAGTAGTAGTAATAATAATAATAATAATAATAATCTTTATATTCCGCTTTATCTCCCTAGAGGGACTCAGAGTGTCCCTCAGAGTGTCCCTCAGTATAAGGCAAACATTCAATGCAGTGAACAATGACGTACAGTATACAGACAAAGGTAAGGCCTCCCCTTTCATCTCTGTTGTCTGGAGGTGATGCTCAACCATGGAGAGGTGCTCTTTTCCCATTTTTCAATGCCAAGGAGCCTGTTGTCCGTAGACATCTCTGATTGTATAGCAGCATATCTGCATGGGGCGCCTTTCTTTATCTTTCCCGCCGAGGTAGTCTGTCTTGATCTACTTGCACTGCATAGTTTCAAACTACTAAGTTGGCAGAAGCTAGGGCTGACAGCAGGAGCTCACCTCAACTCGCAGCTTCGATTCTAGTGCGAGACTCTTGTATTCTGAACAATAAAGATGTATGCTATCTTCTCAATTTGGAGCAAAGGACCTTCCCAATTGGAGCAAAGGACATAATATAATTTGGAGCAAAGGACCTTCCCAATTTGAAGCAAAGGACCTTCTCAATTTGGAGCAAAGGACCTTCCCAATTTGGAGCAAAGGACGATCACAATTTGGAGCAAAGGACCTTCCCAATTTGGAGCAAAGGACCTTCCCAATTTGGAGCAAAGGACTTTCCCAATTTGAAGCAAAGGACCTTCCCAATTTGGAGCAAAAGACCTTCCCAATTTGGAGCAAAGGACCTTCCCAATTTGGAGCAAAGGACCTTCCCAATTTGGAGCAAAGGACTATCACAATTTGGAGCAAAGGACATTCCCAATTTGGAGCAAAGAACTTTCACAATTTGGAGCAAAGGACATTCAGAATTTGGAGGAAAGGGCTGTCACAATTTGTTTAGAATCCAAGAGTCTCGCCCTCCTTCCCCTCTTGATAGGGCCTTAACGACAATGCCCTGGTGCCTGCCCTTTCCCACATATAGAGCCCACCTTCTCACGCCACAGAGCCATTTATTTTTATGGCTGGTTCATGTGTCCTGACAGCATCCTGTCCTCCCTTTTGGCCATCAGCTTGGTTTGTTTCCATCATAAATGCATCATTGGGCCAAGGGAAATTCCCGTCCTGCCTTAAGCAGGCGGTGGTAAAACCATTACTAAAAAAGACCTCCCTTGACCCTTCCATGCTTAATAATTACAGACCAATCTCCAACCTCCCTTTTTTGGGCAAGGTGCTGGAGTGGGTGGTCGCCTCGCAGCTCCAGGGATGCCTAGATGACACAGATTTTCTAGACCAATCGCAGTCTGGTTTCAGGCCTGGGCACATCACCGAGATGGCTTTGGTCGCCTTGGTGGATGAACTCCACAGGGAACTGGACAGGGGGAGTGTGACCCTGCTGGTTCTCTTGGACATCTCAGCGGCTTTTGATACCATTGACCTTGGTATCCTTCTGAGTCAACTCTCCAGGATGGGACTTGGGGGCACGGTTTTACTGTGGCTTCAGTCCTTTCTGGAGAGTCGTTCCCGATGGCTAAGCTGGGCGACACCTGCTCAGACCCCTGGCCATTGACCTGTGGAGTCCCGAAAGGTTCCATTCTGTCCCCCATGCTTTTTAACATCTATATGAAACAGCTGGGAGAGGTCATCCAGAATTTTGGAGTCAGGTGTCATCTCTACGCAGATGATGCCCAACTCCACTACTCTTTTCCACCTGAATCCAAGGAAGCCCCTCGGATGCTGGATTAGTGCCTGGCTGCTGTGTCGATCTGGATGAGGGCGAACAAGCTGAAAATTAATCCCGACAAGATGGAGGTCCTCCAGGTCAGTCGTATGCCTGACTGGGGTATAGGGTGGCAACCTGTGCTTGACGGGGTTGCACTCCCCCTGAAGGCACAGGTCCGCAGCTTGGGGTTCTCCTGGACTCAGTGCTGACGCTTGATGCGCAGGTGTCGGCGGTGGCTGGGAGGGTCTTCGCACAATTAAAACTCGTGCACTAGCTGCAACCATACCTCGCGAAGTCTGACTTGACCAGGGTGGTCCATGCCTTAGTTACCTCTAGATTGGACTACTGCAATGCACTCTACCTTCCCAATTTGGGGCTTCCCTTGAAGACGGTCCGGAAACTTCCATTAGTCCAGCGCTTGGCAGCCAGACTTCTAACGGGGGCAAATTACAGGGAGCGGTCAACTTCCCTGTTTAAGGAGCTCCACTGGCTGCCATTCATCTTCCAGTCCCAATTCAAGGTACAGGTCATCACCTATAAAGCCCTAAACAGTTTGGGACCCACCTACCTTTGTGGCCGCATTTCCTACCACAAACCTACACGATCCCTTCGATCTTCTGGAGAGGCCTTCCTCTCGCACATTCCACTATCACAAGATCAACTTGTGGGTACGAGGGAGAGGGCCTTTTCCGCTGTGGCCCCTGCCTTTGGAACTTGTTACCTGGGGAGATTAGGCAAGCCCCTATCCTAGCAGCCTTTAAGAAGGTTTTCAAAACTTGGCACTTCCGATGTGCCTTCGGAGAGTGACCACTCAACCCATTTGTCTATTTCCATCTACAGTTGTCCCCTCAATAAAGTATCTTCTCCTGTTTCCCTATAAAGGCCAAACTCCACTGCTCCTTCTTCTCGGGCTCCTCTCTCATAAATGTACTTTTTATTCCTAACTCGCCCAGGGTTTTAAGCTTTTAACATTTTATCTCATACATCTGGCCCACCCTCTGTGTTTGATTTTACTATATCGTTTGATATTGTTTATTTTATCTGTTGTTTTTATATATTTTGTTATGATGTTTTTTCCTGTTATTTATTGTCTAATTATGTTGTATTATTTTGGGGTTGGCCTCGTGTTAGCTGCCCCGAGTCCCCTTTGGGGAGATGGAGGTGGGTTATTTATTTATTTTATTTACCTTGCTTATATACCGCTGTTCTCAGCCCGAAGGCGACTCACAGCGGTTCACAACAACAAGAGAAAACAAAATTCAATAATTACAGTATAAAAGCAATTATCAACTTAATAGAGTTGCATAATTAATAACAATAAACAATTATCAATTAACAATTACTACAATAGCCATTCACTATCATCTCATCATCAAAACATGATCCAGATTCGTCATCCAATGATCCATTCCAGTGTTCATTAACCAATCATTGCACTCATTGTTCGAACGCCTGCTCAAATAGCCAGGTCTTCACTTTTTTTCGGAATACCATCAGAGATGGTGCTAGTCTAATGTCGGTAGGGAGGGTGTTCCACAGCCGAGGAGCCACCACCGAGAAGGCCCTATCTCTCATCCCCGCCAGCCGTGCCTGTGAAGCAGGCGGGATCGAGAGCAGGGCCTCCCCGGAAGATCTCAAAGTCCTGGTGGGTTCATAGGCAGAGATGCGGTCGGATAGGTAGCTTGGGTTGGAACCGTTTAGGGCTGTAAAGGCTAACGCCAGCACTTTGAATTGAGCCCGGTAGCAAATCGGTAGCCAGTGGAGTTGGCGCAACAGGGGGGTTGTATGCTCCCTGCGCTCCGCTCCTGTTAACATCATGGCTGCCGAGCGTTGGACTAATTGAAGCTTCCGAGCCGTCTTCAAACGCAACCCCACATAGAGAGCGTTGCAGTAGTCTAAACGGGATGTAACCAGAGCGTGGACTACCGTGGCCAAGTCAGACTTCCCAAGGTACGAGCGCAGCTGGCGCACAAGCCTAAGCTGTGCAAATGCTCCCCTGGTCACCACCGAAACCTGGGGTTCCAGGCTCAGCGATGAGTCCAGGGTCACACCCAAGCTGCGAACCTGCGTCTTCAGGGGGAGTGCGACCCCATCCAACACAGGCTGTAACCCTATGCCCTGTTCGGCCTTGCGACTGACTGGTTATAAATAAAGATTCTTCTTCTTCTTCTTCTTCTTCTTCTTCTTATTATTATTATTATTATTATTATTATTATTATTATTATTATTATGTGCTCTATGTCAGGACCGGTGATCTGAGAGTCGCATGGCATGAGTGACTATGACAACCAATGTCGCCAATGCCTCCAACAGCCACTAGGTGGCATTCAGAAAGAGGAGGCAGCTGCCCGCCCAATGGTTTGGTTGCCCAGGCTAGGGTCAAGGGGAGCTGACTGACCTTTCGAAGAGAAAGCGGAGGCCGACGAGGAGGAGGGCCAGCGGGAGGCTGAGCAGTAGGTGCCGGGGCTGTGGGTAGCGCACTTCCTCCGTCTCCCGCATGTCCTCCCAGGTGATGCCCGGTGGGAGCCAGAACTCGTGCCGCCACAGCCAGTCTGTCAGCGGGAGGGACATCGCCTGCAGCGCAGAGGGCAGAAAAGGAGGGAGAAACAGTCAGGAGGGGCACCCAGGGGGCATCCAGACCAGACCAGGCCCCTTCCGCCAGGGAGGGAAAGCACACCTAAAGCCCTAGAAGATCCATACAGAACAGGCATGGGCACACTTCAGCCCTCCCTCTGGGTGTTTTGGACTTCAACTCCCACTCCTAATAGCTGGTAATAATGATGATTATTATGATGATGATTCATTCCATGTGGCGTCTAATGTGAGAGACAAACATGGTCATTGAATGGTACGCTGGTTGACTCGTGCTTGAAATAGATATGAATGAAAGCGAATAGAGATGTTGTGATTCAAGCGAAAGCTGAGGAACAGATTGTCTAAGCCCTTATATACAGCAATATAATAATAATGAAATATTTTAAAAATATTATCCTCAAAATAATATATAACAATAAAAATATGCCAATATAATAATAATATAGGGATAATTATATTTAAAATAATATTATAAAAATAAAATATTATTTTAGGTTCTTGTGGGTTTTTTCGGGCTATAGAGCCATGTTCTAGAGGCATTTCTCCTGACGTTTCGCCTGCATCTATGGCAAGCATCCTCAGAGGTAGTGAGGTCTGTTGGAATTAGGACAATGGGTTTATATATCTGTGGAATGGCTGGGGTGGGGCAAGGAGCTCTTCCCTGCTGCGGTACGTGTGAATGTTTCAACTGATCACCTTCATTAGCATTTGAAGGCCTGCCTGAGCCTGAGAAAATCTCTTGCTGGGAGGTGTTAATCTGTGCCTGGTTGTTTCCTCTCTGTTGTTTTGCTGTTGTAATTTTAGAGTTTTTTAATACTGGTAGCCAGATTTTGTTCATTTTCATGGTCTCTTCCTTTCTGTTGAAATTGTCCACATGCTTGTGGATTTCAATGGCTTCTCTGTGTAGTCTGACATGGTGGTTGTTGGTGTGGTCCAGCATTTCTGTGTTCTCAAATAATATGCTGTGTCCAGGCTGGTTCATCAGGTGCTCTGCTATGGCTGACTTCTCTGGTTGAAGTAGTCTGCAGTGCCTTTCATGTTCCTTGATGCGTGTCTGGGCGCTGCGTTTGGTGGTCCCTATGTAGACTTGTCCACAGCTGCATGGTATACGGTAGACTCCTGCAGAGGTGAGAGGATCCCTCTTGTCCTTTGCTGAACGTAGCATTTGTTGGATTTTCTTGGTGGGTTTGTAGATTGTTTGTATGTTGTGTTTCCTCATCAGCTTCCCTATGCGGTCAGTGGTTCCCTTGATGTATGGCAGGAATACTTTTCCTCTGCTTCAAATTCTAATGAAGGTGGTCAGTTGAAACATTCACACCTAGCTCCAGCAGAGAAGAGCTCTTTGCCCCACCCCAGCCATTCCACAGATATATAAACCCATTGTCCTATTTCCAACAGACCTCACTACCTCTGAGGATGCTTGCCATAGATGCAGGCAAAACGTCAGGAGAAATGCCTCTAGAACATGGCCCTATAGCCCGAAAAAACCCACAAGAACCTAGTGATTCCAGCCATGAAAGCCTTCGACAATACATAAAATAATGTTAGGAATTGTGGGAGTTGTAAGTTTGCCCATGCCTGATTTAGAATCATAGATTTGGGACCCCCAGGGAACATCTAGACCAGTCCCCTCCTGCCAGGTAAGAAAAGCATCATCAATCAATAATAATCGTAATACCAATAATAACTTTATTTTTATACCCCGCCTCCATCTCCCTGAGGGGACTCGGGGCGGCTTACAAAGGGACAAGTCCAAAAAGAAAAACCACAGATTAAAACACAGTGCAATACAGTAAAACCAAAAAACCAAATCAAAATATCAAAAACAATAAATAAACACATCATAATAACACAATACATCATAAAAGCAATCCATGGGCTATTTATTTATTTATTTATTTATCGTGTCACGAGCAACCAGACAGTTATATTACATTTTTAACAAAACAAACAAACAGACAGACAAAACACAAAGTTTGCAAGCTTGGTAGTTGATTAAATGTCCCTTGACCAGTATCTGGCCACTTGGAGTGCTGCTGGTGTTGCCGCAAGGAGGTCCTCCATTGTGCATGTGGCAGGGCTCAGGTTGCATTGCAGCAGGTGGTCAGTGGTTCGCTCTTCTCCACACTCGCATGTCGGGGATTCCACTTTGTAGCCCCATTTCTGAAGGTGCCAGAGCGCAGTCTGTTCAGTGCCTTCCAAGTCGCCCAATTTTTTGTGTGCCCAGGGGGGAGCCTCTCATTTGGTATTAGCCATTGATTGAGGTTCTGAGTTTGAGCCTGCCATTTTTGGACTCTCACTTGCTGGGGTGTCTCAGCAAGTGTCTCTGTAGATCTTAGAAAACTATTTCTTGATTTAAGTCATTGACATCCTGGCTGATACCCGAACGGGATGAGCTGGAGATGTCACTGCCTTGGTCCTTTCACTATTGGCTGCTACTTCCCGGTGGATGTCAGGTTGTGCAATACCGGCTAGACAGTGTAGTTTCTCCAGTGGTGTAGGGCGCAGACACCCCGTGATAATGCAGCATGTCTCATTAAGAGCCACATCCACTGTTTTAGCATGGTGAGATGTGTTCCACACTGGGCATACGTATTCAGCAGCAGAGTAGCATAGTGCAAGGGCAAATGGTATATAAGTAAGGTAAATAAATAAATAAATGTCTTCACTGTGTCTGGTTGTGATCCCCAGGTTGTGCCAGTCAGCTTTCGTATGATATTGTTTCTAGCACCCACGTTTTGCTTGATATTCAGGCAGTGCTTCTTGTAGGTCAGAGCACAGTCCAGAGTGATTCCCAAGTATTTGGGTGCGCTGCAATGCTCCAGTGGGATTCCTTCCCATGTAATCCTCTGAGCTCGGGATGCTTGTCTGTTCTTAAGACGAAAAGCACATATCTATGTTTTAGATAGATTAGGGATCAGCTGGTTTTCCCTGTCATAGGTAGTAAGAGCACGTAGAGCTTTGGTTCAAACATCTCAAATCTCCCTGCTTGAATGGTAATGGCACAATCATCAGCATAGATGAAACTCTCTGTCCCTTCTGGCAGTGGCTGGTCATTTGTGTAGATGTTGAACATGGATGGAGTAAGTACGCTCCCTTGAGGGAGGCCGTTCTTCTGTTTACACTGAAACAGAATCAATGGGCTGAAAAGTAAAACTATTACTACTGCTACCAGGGGCGGCTCGTCCATTACGCAAAGTAAGCGGTCGTGATATACTTTTTTTGCCAGGGGCGCAGAGGCACCTCTGTAAATGCCCCCGCCACTTGAGGAGCGCCCACTCGGCTCACAACAGCTCTAGCAGTAAGGGGGGAGCCTTGGCTTCCTTGCCTCACTGCCGGGCGATCCTCTTCCCGAAGGGGACGGGCCCTTGAGCCTCGCCTAGCCCCTCTCGTTCCTGCTCCATATCAATGATTGGTTGGGGGGGGGGGGTGTCAAAATACTGTTTGCTAACCGTTGAAAATTAGGACCTGGGCCTGGTCCTGTTCAACATCTTTATTAATGACTTAGATGAAGGGCTAGAAGGCATGATCATCAAGTTTGCAGACGACACCAAATTGGGAGGGATAGCCAATACTCCAGAGGACAGGAGCAGGATTCAAAATGATCTTGACAGATTAGAGAGATGGGCCAAAACTAACAAAATGAAGTTCAACAGTGACAAATGCAAGATACTCCACTTTGGCAGGAAAAACGAAATGCAAAGATACAAAATGGGGGACGCCTCACTCGAGAGCAGTACGTGTGAAAAGGATCTTGGAGTCCTCGTGGACAACAAGTTAAACATGAGCCAACAATGTGATGTGGCGGCAAAAAAAGCCAAGGGGATCTAGGGATATCATGCTACCCCTCTATTCCGCTTTGGTTAGACCACACCTGGAATATTGTGTCCAATTCTGGGCACCACAATTCAAGAGAGATATTGACAAGCTGGAATGTGTCCAGAGGAGGCGACTAAAATGATCAAGGGTCTGGAGAACAAGCCCTATGAGGAGCGGCTTAAGGAGCTGGGCATGTTTAGCCTGAAGAAGAGAAGGCTGAGAAGGAGATATGATAGCCATGTATAAATATGTGAGAGGAAGCCACAGGGAGGAGGGAGCAAGCTTGTTTTCTGCTGCCCTGGAGACTAGGACGCGGAACAATGGCTTCAAACTACAAGAGAGGAGATTCCATCTGAACATTAGGAAGAACTTCCTGACTGTGAGAACTGTTCAGCAGTGGAACTCTCTGCCCCGGAGTGTAGTGGAGGCTCCTTCTTTGGAGCTTTTAAACAGAGGCTGGATGGCCATCTGTCAGGGGTGATTTGAATGCAATATTCCTGCTTCTTGGCAGGGGGTTGGACTGGATGGCCCATGAGGTCTCTTCCAACTCTTTGATTCTATGATTCTAATTTACCTAGGGTCGCCTCTGACTACTACTACTACTACTACTACTACTACTATTAATAATAATAATAATAATAGAATCATAGAGTTGGAAGGGACTCCCAGGGGACATCCAGACCACCACCCCCCGCCATGTAAGAAAAGCACCATCAAACCCCTCCCGAAAGAGCCACCCAGCCTCTGTATCAAAGCCTCCAAGGAAGGGGCTTCCACTGTTGAATTGCTCTTAAAATCAGGAAGTTTGGTCTCATAATGTTCCATGGCATCTCCCTTCTTCGCTGCCATTAGAACCCATGACTGCATGGAGTCCTAGCCTCCAGGGCTGCAGAGAGCAAGGCTGCTTACTCCTCTTTCCTGCTACCTCCTTTCGAATATTGAAAGGATAAACAGGCCCAGTGTTTGAAGAGGGGAGACCATTCATGGCTTCCGGAGCTTCACTCCGCCAGACACAGGGCAATTGATGGTTCTTCCAGGTGAGAATGCCTAACTGGGCCAAGTGAGGCTCCTTGCCTGGGCATGCCACAGCCATGTCTGTGTGGATCTGCCTCCGTAGCCTCTGGGCATCTCTTCCCTCCCAAATCTGCCTTTCATGAGCA